GATCTCGATCGAATGACAACGGGTCAGCATTTCGACAAGTTCGAAATAACACCCTTTAAGGCCAAGGGCCCTCGCCAAAAAGAAGAGTTCAATCTCGATCGAACGACGATAGGTTAGTATTTCAATAAGTTCGAAATAACACCCTTTAAAGACAAGGGCCTTCGCCAAAGAGAAGATTTCAACCTTGATCGAGCGACGATGGGTCAGTATTTCGACAAGTTCGAAATAACACCCTTTAAGGCTAAGGGCCCTTGCCAAAAAGAAGAGTTCGATCTCGATCAAATAACGACGGGTCAGTATTTCAACAAGTTCGAAATAACACCCTTAAGGCCAAGGGCCTTCGCCAAAAAGAAGAGTTCGACCTCAATCGAATGATGACGGGTCAATATTTCGACGAGTTCGAAATAACGCCCTTTAAGGCCAAGGGTCTTCGCCAAAAAGAAGAGTTCGATCTCGATCGAACGATGATGTGTCAGTATTTCAACAAGTTCGATATAACACCCTTTAAGGCCAAGGGCCTTCGCTAAAAAGAAGAGTTCGAACTCGATCGGATAGCGATGGGTTGATATTTCGACAAAAGTTCGAAATCACACCCTTGGGGACACAAGCCATCGAAAAAGAGAAAATTTAAAATATCCTAAGGGCAAGGGCCGTTAGAAAATATAAAGGGAAAGAAAAACCGGGACTCGCCATACGGGAATCTACCTCGTACCAAAGTCATGAAAAGCAAAAACAAAGAAAAAGTACCAGGCGAATAACAACAAAAAATTCTTCTTTATACAAAGTCACTGCGCAAATAGTCGCAGATTACATACGACTTGAATCAATAGTCTAAAAAAAGAAGAAGAGATAAACAACAAAGAAAAAGAAGAGAGAAACAAAAAAAAAGAAAACAGACAAAGACAACTATCTTTTCACGCGGTGTCACCATCGCCACCCTGTTCACCACCATCTCCAAGAAATTCTTCCTTGGCATCTGCACCCTTACCAGCTTCCGGCGTCGCTGAGTAATATCCACAATTGACAAGAGCCTCTCGCGCCTTCGCCCGCGCTACTTCATATGTGGCCTCGGTAACATTGCCCGCCTCCCACAAACTCTTGTATATATCCCGTTGGGTTTCAGCATGAACCCAAAGCTCGTGCAAGAAGCGGGGGACGGCGGCGGAGGAAGACTCGATTTGAGACAACAGTTTCACTTTTTAGTCCTTCAGAGCGGCAACTCAATCCCACAAGATCGACGCTTCTCGATCGATCTCACCAATGCGTTCATCAAGCCTCGCCTCCCTTAGCGTGGCCGTCGCCCTTTCCAATTCCTGCTCGAATTGGAGGACGTGCATAGTTTTCTCCAGGGCTGCCGCCCTTGCCGTAGTCGAGGACCAGGCACTCTCGATGCTCTCCAACCCGGAAACCTTTCTCTCCAACTCGGCCAATTTTCCCATCCACTCCGCACTTATCGCATCGACCTTGATAAGATTCTAATCCATTTTGGACTGCATTGACCTCAGTCTCCCCTGCAGATAGTCACACTCTGCGGCTACCCCCTTGCCTAACTCAAGCTCATCATCCTTCGCGCGAAGTTTCTCCTCGAGCACACTATTTTTGCGAACGGCCTCTATCAACTGCTGGTCTCTCTTCTCCAATTCCTCGCCAAAGGGATCAAGCATCGGGATTCTCCCTCAGCCTCTCGTGCATCTCACAACACTTATTGCAATAGCGCCGATATTTCTCCAACACCTTCAGGAAAATCTAAGTCCAAATGTCAGCCCTACGAGCACTCTCGATTTCCAACATGTACGTCTGAAAAGTGAAAAGACGGGTTAAGATCGTATCATCCAGAAAAGTAAAAGAAACATGAAAGAAAGGCGAAATGTACCCTCAGGGCCATAGTGGCCACTTCATGCATCAAGTCGATATCAGGAATGTTACAGAGATCCTCGTTCTCGGCAGCGAAGCACAAAATGTTGAACTACGGCACCAGATCCTCCGTGTCCCCTAGGAGATTAACATCGAAAGAGATCTCAAGAATACGGGTCGAGCCTCCCGCATGAACTACCGAGTGGGTGATACCCTTCTCAAACATCCTAACATCATTAGGATCGAGGTCCGACTCGGATTCATAGTCATCGACCATGATGCCCTTTCCTCTTTCAGCAGCTGAGGAGGAAGCACGACCATGTATAGAGGACGGGGGTACATCCGAAACCACAACGGCAGCCTAAAAAATTTGTCCCCCCATCACGGCAGGTTGCTGATCAAAGACAATGGCAGGAATCTCCGTCGACAGGGTAGATACGATGGCTGGCTCTATCTCTACGGGCGGAGTGACATCAACCCCCACCCTAGATCTTGTCAAGGGAGAGTCATCCAGATGTATTACAGTTGGAGGGGTTGTCTCGAATTCCACTCGCCACCTCTTGGACGTCCCTTCTTCTTCCTCAGCACGGGGAGATTCGCCCGTCAGATGAGCGGCACGAGTCAGAACCTTAGTCTGAGAAGTGGCCTCCGTAGGAGTAACTACAGCCGCAGACTCAACTGAATCAACCCTCGATGAGGACCGAGCGGTAGATGCTATGGCAGGGCGAGCAGACGATACAGGCTTACGAAAAGCTAATGGAGGAGCCCTTGTTCTCCACACTCTCCCTGACATCGACAAACAACACATAAGAAACTAAGTAAAAAGAGAGGAAAAATAGCAAACAGAAACGACATCTCACATGTAAGGGGCCTGCGTCCAAATTTTTCATAAAAGGCCGACCATGTTCGAACCCCCGTATAGGGAAGGATGGAACTCACCCACTCGCGGATACCTTCGACAGGTGGAGGGGGAAATTTCACAGCTGTAGAGACATAACAGGGTTTAAAATTGTAACAGAAAGCGGTCGGGCACCTCTCTGACTAAAAACATAAGAAACTTCTTCTCAAGGAACCCCGTTGAGTCCGCCACAAGGTGCTCGATCTGCACATAGAAATAATTCTCGTAGAAACGACGGTTAGCTCTATCGTCCATCTTCCCTAACGGACTCTTCGACCCCCGAGGGCGCATGTGAATCATCGTGCTGCGAATGAGCTGAGGGGAGAATATATTGAGCATGTGATCCAAAGTGATCTCATGACCGGCGAGCTCCGCGAACTTGAGTAACATAAGGAACAATTTATACAGGTACGGCAAAAGTTGAGCGGGGAATACCTCGTAAAAACGGCAGAAATCTACCACCATGAGAGGGAGAGGAAGTGTGTACCTAATAAAAAGAGGTAGGCATAGAACACGCAGTACCAGGGCGGTCAAAATGGACTATATCGTACCCTACCGCCGGCCGCATGTCAACATAAACGGGAATTCCCCACCTAGATTTCAACTCTGCGATTTTCTCCTCTTTTATGACAGAGGGGACAGGTTTCAGCTCCTTCCCGGCGCGACTGTAGAAGTCGGTCCATTCTTTCCCAAGACGAGGCAAGATCTCGGCTATCGATGGGACCTCCTCATCTTCCACCACTTCTACTCCTCCGGTGGCCAGAGCAACATTTTCTGGCACCGGAATTGTGACAGGGAGGTCAGCACAAGAAGAATCACCAGCTATTGTATCAATTTGGTACAGTAAAAAGACAATGGAAAGGAAGGATGAAAGTTTTTGGTTAACTGGGGGCGAGTGAAATTTTTAAGTATAAAGAAGAAAGTAGCTTCGCAAAATTCTTTCAAGCAAAGGGCAAGGAAGTGTGTCAATCGAATGATGTGTTCCTTCTATTTATAAGAGACATAAATCCCCCAAGCACTAAACCCAAGAGTCACCAATCGAATCTGATAGGGCACGAAACATTTTGATTCCCTAGGAACGTGTGTCATAATGGCACCAACCACGAAACAACATTTCAATCCAAACGACGTTTCGATTCCGAAACAGTCGCAACGGTCCAGGGATATCGAAAGAGCTTCGTCACCTCACGTAAAACCTAAGGAGCATAACCAAGGGATAAATAGTTAGATTTCTCTCGGATTTGTAGCAATCATGATCCGTCTGCCTGGCCCGACAGGGGACGGCCCCGACAGATGGAAGGACTAACTGTATTGGTCAAAATCTGACCGCTGCGGTCAAGCTGACCAACATCCCGTCCAAGCGGCAAGGCAGCGAAATACGACATGGTCTATTCCATATCTCACACCCACGACACCCGTCAAGTCAGAAGAAACAACGTTCGGGGGACGACCAAGGCAGACATAGTGTGAAAAGGAGTCGGACCAAGTACATAGTAAAGGTCCCATGACTATATATAGTAGGGAAAAACCTTCGGTAAAGGGGATGAGTTTTTCACTTCTCTTTCTCTCCCTAGTTCTCTCTTCTGTAATCTTCATAATGAAAAGAAGAACGAAGCATTCTCCAAGAAAATATATAAAATGGTCTCCTCCATTGATTAATGGGAGCCATAACGGAAAGTTTCAATAAGATTGGTTACCTTTATCTTATCTATGTATTATTTTTCCGATTAGTTTATTGATCTAGAGTGTATTATGGTTGATTGAGATTTACTCCTTCATTTTCCTTAATTGATTTATTCAAAAAAGTTTCAATATCTTTTGAGTCAAACAATGCTATGGCATATTTAACATTACTTTTTTTTCTTTGTTTCTCACTCAATATTTGATATCTGCTTTGAGATGCCGACTAATCTAGATACGTGTTGCATAAGGCTCATTAAAAAGAAAGTGCTCGTGCAGAAAATTTTCATTCTCAGAGCTCGAAGCCGGGTCCTTTAGTCAAGGGTGGAATATTACAGCCTCGTTTGTCCTATAACAGCCTCGTTTGTTCCGAATATTATTGAATGTTATAGCGAAGTGATGTTATAGAGAACATATATTATAACATAACATGAAAATTGGTTCCACAAGACCTTGACTTTTATAGTGAAGTGTTGTTATATGGGGATGCTGTTATAGAGAGGTCTGACTGTATATGGAAGAATTTAAATAGAGTAAAAAAAAGAGTCACATAAAACGGATGAGAAAATACAACAAAGTGACGATCATACGCCCAAATCTTTGCTTGACATTAATATCATGGCACTTTGAAACATTTCAGAGACACCTTATTTCGAAGTGGGTAATTTAGTTTCAACCCTTAAAAGTAGTACATGGGATTCGGCATTTTGAAAGTGCGCAACAAGAAGTCTACAATAATATCATCCCATCCTCCTAAGTTGCCAACAAGTCTGTATCCAGCTTTCACCAATTCTGCCCTTTTCTGAGTTTTCCAGTTACCTTTATGTTCTGAATATAATTCTGAATCATTTTTTCCCCTACATGCAGCCACATCATTAATTAATTAATAACATGCATATCATAAATGTATCATATCCATATGCCTAAAATCAAGATATATAATTCTTACTTGCAAATGAACTTGAACCAAGAATGGTAGCCAGCTTTCTTTAGGTTTGCAATTCTCAGTTGTCTGAATTCTTCCTTCGTGTCCGTAATAAAGATTGGTTTAATACCCAAATCCAACAATGTTTTATACAGTAAGAGAGCACCTGGCACTGCTGGTGATTTTCCTTCTTTAATCCACGACTCATACTTCTTCCCGCTTGATTTTGTTGCCCTGACCACAATTAATATATAT